ATTTAATCAAGTGTTCCTCCATATTGATCCCAATCAATCCATCCGTCCACCCAGCCTTCCATTCATTCATCCATCCATCTGGTATCCATCCGACCAATTTCCCCGTCCCTCTGACATGCATGAAGAGTACAATAATAGCGTATTTGTCAGTGTCCCAGTCCTCCACAATATAATTTCCTCTTTGGCTGAAAGGCTTGATGTCAAACAAGATGCAATATAGGAGATATAGACTCATTACTTATCTACTTTTATCTCAACCGACTCACCAAAATCACCTCGAGTGTAATTTGGATGTCTTGAATATATTAAAATTAGAACAAGATAAAAGAAGTGCCGTGTTTCCAAGTGGAAATGATGACATGGGCGTGCGGGGACACGCAGATACGTCTAGTAATTTTATATCTGCATCAATTACAGCTCACGATGGGAGTGCGGCTGCACAATGAGTTAGTGGTTGCCATGTCTTCCTCTGAAGTTGTGGGTTCAAATCCCAGCTCAGACCGAACATTTTTTTCTTTTAATTGCAATTTCAACTTGTATTGACACACAGACATTGCCCAAAGTCATTTGGGATCGACTCCATCACACCTGGCTTAGATGCTAATGAAGACAAGCTCTGTAGAAAATGAATAGTGGCGAGGGGATGTGGGATTTGTTTTTTCTTATGGCATTTTCAATGGCTCTTAATGGGACAATTTTGTTTCTGAGTGGCTTCTGTGTCATCATTTTGGACAACTATACTTTGTCATATAGTATGTTCATGCTATGAGGGGGTGCGGTGGGGGTGGGGGATCAGTGGAAGGAAATACCATGTTTTCTTTCGATGGAATGCAGGGGCCCCAAAATTGAACCCTGTGGAACACCATACGACAGAAGGGCAGCCAAGGCGAACACAAAAAGTCTGGCCTGCCAAGTAGGGATCAGAACCACTCTCGCCCTACATGCCCTTTAGAAAATGGATGGATATGAGTGTTAGAACATACTGTACTTCCATCCAATGCGAATGAATGTTAGGTTGCCTTGTTCTTGGCTTGTGAGGCTCCTGAGAAGGAAACGATACAGACGTGTTGCAAATCTTTGGCGATGAATACCAGAGGAGGAGTATTTGGATGAATCAATACGGCAACTTGTACCTGTAGATTGAAGAGGAGCTGCCGCTTGGCGGGAGCTTAAATTGTGACAATGCATCCTGCCGTCTCGCTTGATCACATCTCTGGGTGGAGGCATACATGGAAATTATGTAAACATAGTGGCATCCACAGAGTCTGTAAACGTGCTTTTTCTCCCGCGCCTCCGCCCACTCAATCCTCTCTCTCATTCCACCCAAACACTTTCCAATCTCCTCAGCCCGCGCATTCAATTTAGCTTCTTCTATTCCCTCGCCGTCCTCGGTCAATTCCCCCAGCTTCACTTTCCTCACTCATCCTCCCTCGATTCCACGCCACCCTCCCTCACTCCTCTTCCTTCTCTTGGGAGTACAGATGCTGTTATTTTCCCCCCGTCTCATGTCGTGAATAGCGCTCAATAATAATCAAATAACGTCCATCTTCCATCCCCGTTGATTGATTGATAAAGGCGTTGAGGTCTCACTCGGAGGGCTCTTATTCGTCATCCGTTTCTCAGTAATAACCAATCAGAAGGCCTATCTTAAAGGCTAGCCCCCCTTGCCTTCATGATAGCCCCCCGCCCCCACCACAGTGTTTTTATTGAGTGTATCTGAGGGTCCGTCATTTAGCCCCCACTGTGAGCCCACGATCGATACGCCATGCAGTGGACATAGATGGTGTGGGCCACACAGGTTGTGATTCGGCAACCTGCTTCAGAACATTTTTGAAGGAAAGGCGCAGATTTCACATGAACTCAACTCAAATGTAGTTTGCGTTTTCACGTCAGCCGGACCAAAGCGATATACACAAAACATGAAATAATTTGAATAACAATTCAATCATAAATAACGAGCCAAACCAAATCTGCTCTAATCACAAGACGTGCACTGTTTGATTCCCTTTTAATCAAAGGCAAATGAACCATGAATTAAGATGAAACTTTATCTACTTAATTTAGAGTGTTAACTGATATGAATCACGGGCACACACACACACACACGCACACGCACACACACACACACACACACACACACACACACACACACACACACACACACACACACACACACACACTCACTCAAGTGATCTCACGATGTGGTCCAACTAATCATCAGTTGTGTAACTCCTGTTGTTTTCCTCCACAAATGTGACAGCATCATTCCACTTGGTTTCACAATCATTATGCGCGTATGTTTACACACACACACACACACACACACACACACACACACACACACACACACACACACACACACACACACACACACACACACACACA